TTTGATCTTAATAAGCAGCAAGAGACCTTTTTCATCAAAACCTATGAGGAAAACACAAAACTGTTTTTCACTGATTAGACTGAAATGCCATCTCTCGACAAGCTTTAAGATCCTTCACCATTCTCTGAATTATTTTTGTTTCCTGAGGTAGACCAAGTTCTTGTGCATAAAAGATGACGAATGAAGCAATGAAAAATGGTTGTTCTATGGCATCACAGCACCTTCTATGGCATGTATACATTGTATCATTATAGGTTCACAAGGTAATTATATGTATATGACTCTATAGGTCCTTTCTAATCATTGTACACCTGCTGGTGTTTCAGCAACAGAGCTGTTGAGGTAATGAGGTGGTTAAAGCCAAAGGGCCTGATCACTTAGCTGAAGTATATTCAGAGCCCTAATAACCGGTCCACAATACTGCAAGATATATTTTGCAAGCTGTCTTTTCTTAAAGCAATCCAATTGTAAATTGCAGAGCAATAATGTAGACGCACTGATGAGGGAAAACCAATATATAATATCCAGAAACATTTTTAAATCATAATTAACAGAGGAGTAAATTAAATAAACATGAAATAACTTTAGCTTAAAGGAATAGTTCACCCAAAATGAAAATTTGCTTAAAAATCACATACCCTCAGGTGATTCAAGATGTAGGCAAGTTTGTTTCTTCATTTGAATGTTTAGTATTATATCCCTCGCGCACCAATGGATCCTCTGCTGTCATAATGAAAGTTCAAACATCTGATAAAAACACCACAATAATCCACAAATAATCCTCACGACTTCAGTCCATCAATTATCACAGTTTAAGTTTAAAACATCACTTCTGTCCAAAGTCCATAATATATAATAAAGCTTCCTCCAGCGAAAAAGTCCATCCCCTGTTGTCCTCTCACATCAAAATCCACCATATTTGTTTACAACAGTTTTGGACTGTTTTTGCTTGTAAACAATGCTTGTGCATATTTCTCTACTGATTCAGATGCAATGTAATGGATAGAGGACTAATATTTTTGCCAAAAGCAAAGTTAAAAACATATTGATATATTTATTTCACAAGTTAATGTTAATTGATGGACTGGAGTCGTGTTGATTGCTTGTGGATTAGTTTCATGTTTTTAACAGCTCTTATTATGATGGCACCCATTCACTGCAGAGGACCCATTGGCGAGTAAGGGATGTAATAATTAATTAAAAAAATATAATATATTTTCAGATGAAGAAACAAACTCATCACATGCTGTATGGCCTGAGGGTGAGTAAATGTAAAATATACATAAATTAATAGATTTGTTTATTGTTTGGCCAAATATTTTGGACACTAAATATACCATTTTCAGTGCATTGGTGTGCTCAGCTGGCCTGATGTAACTGTGATGTTTTCTGAAAAGAATCGTCTAAATGGTCAATTGAATTGAGGTGGGGGGTCAGCCTGGATCTCAAATAGAATCTCATGCAAATTTGTGAATTATTCATTATAGGGGGACCACATTAAGGGAAATACAAAGGCACCCAAAATATTTCCCAGTTGTTCCAACCCTGATGAATCATCAGAACCTCTAGAACTCACGTACATTAAAGTTGGCATGAAACGGAAGTTGCGATTGTCTTTTCTTCTCTACTGTGATATACAGTATATCTGAGTGAAACGGCGTCTGAAATGAGAGGGCGGGACTTGATCTCGTCCTTCGGGAATTGATTGGATCGTTGGAAGGTGGGGCATTGCAAACAAAATGGAGGCAGATCCGAATGCCAGTTTGCACTTAGTGGTGGGGGATTTCTCTCCACTGGATTCACAGCCGACACCCAAGCATGAATAAATGTTTTATTTATTAAGGATGACGACGACGATCAACGGCACAAAACATGCCGCGAGTGAGAGAGACAGAGAGACTACCTGAATGACTGAACGCGTCCTCCATCTACATCAACTTTGCGCTGTGCCGGCCTCAAGCCGGCCTCCGCATACTCTTGGCCGCGGCTCACTCTAGCCCTCCGGCCGTTCCTCACTCTAGCCCCCGGCCTCTGCTCACACTAGGCCGCCGCTCACTCTAGCCCGCCGTGTGTGACGGTGTGTTTCATTGTGAAAGCGAAACTACTTTGTTTGGCCTTCCAAAAGAGGACACGACTAGAAATCAGTGGTTAAGTTGTATTTACAACACTGTTCCAGAACAGTTTAACCCAAATATTCAGATGTATGCAGCACATTTTAAGGAGGACTGTTTCCTGATCCTGGGAGAGTAGACTACAATGCCGGCTGTTCTGACTCACAGACTGTAAGTACGTTTTAAATATATAAGGAATTTGCCACTGATGATTCAAACCGAGTTTTGGGCAGTGTAGAGTAGGGCTTGTTGTTTGTCATTTCTCCGCTCACAAATGCAGACATGGTTTTATGTTTACGCGGCGCGATGCAACACAACATGTAAAAAGACAGTATATGTCATTATAATCCATAATTATGTCCCCGCTGGATGCAACGAATGCCTCGTTTATAATGGGTTTTCATGTTTTTGAATCGTCACTCCGGCCTGACAGGGCATCATCACAATATGGTGAGGGGCATAACATTTCCACACGCTTTCCGATGAGCTTTGTAAAAATCTACGCATTTCAGAAAGGCGGGGCATAGAGGAGAAACAATAATGTACAGTATGTGGAAAATAATGTGTTTTTTTAACCTTAAACCGCATAAACACATTTCATTACACCAAAAATGTTCATTTTAGCAACATCAGTTTTTGTTTTTGATTTGAATTATTTAGTTTTAAGGTAGTAATTTAAAATGTTCTATAGATATATTTAGCAAGTCTGTGAGGCAAGTATTCGCTGAGTTTCGGTTCATCATTGTAAAGCGCTCCTGGCCGAAAATTGCAGAAAGTGCATCCTGTATTTATCCTTTATTTTATAAAAGCACAACATTTTGTTGATATTGTGAGTGCACAGAAATAAAAGTAGACCCTTTACAGTTCCGAGTGATGTGCTACTCTTACCTTTATGAGCAAAAATTATGGCATATTTTACATTGTTTCCAATGCAAGTGATCGCGCCGGCGCCTCCATGTCCTGTAAAATGTTCTCCGCACAAACGATTAGATATGCGTCTAATAGTGCACATTTATATAGGTTAAACATTTAAACTAACACTGTGATATGCTTGAACTGTTTTATATCTATAGATTTTATTTTAGGCAAGTCGTGATGATTTGATAAGGCTAAATTGATCGCTGACTGCTGGCCGCTTGGTCGTTACTTTAAAAAACAAAAACGTACATTTCCCGAACAAAAAAAATGCTCCAAACGTTTTTCTAAATTAACTTAATAAAAAAACCTAATGAAATATAATCACTTTGACATTGTATACAAAACTTAACTATTTTAATAGCTGAAACAGTAGTATAATCTGTTTTGGGAGAAGGGGTGAAAAAAGAGGGGCTCGGGTCGGACTCGGGCCAAGAATTCTGATGAGCTGTCGGACACGGGCCGGGCTAGGGCCTATATATGAGGCCCGTGCAGAGCTCTAGGCTGGACTCTGCTTCGTCCATGGTGAAAGCCGATCCACAGCGTGAAGTTGATGTATTCCTTCAGCGACCAGCACGGATCAGCTCCAGGCATGACAAAGCGGATATCGTCCTCTTTTGGAAGACTTTCGTTCGCTTTCACAACAAAACACACAGCGCCTTCACAACATGGCGGCAGCAACAATACTACAGCCAAAATAAAAGTTAAGCCTTCTTTCTTTGCGTGAACATTTGGGCAGTGTTATGCAAATCTTTACACATAGTGAGGTAGATATGTGGGGGCGTGTTAGAACGAGCTGTTTTAGGTAGGTGTGGCTGACTCTTAACTTTTATAAAGAATATCTCTTTTGATTTGAGACTTTAGTCTTTGCAACTTTACAGATCTTCTTTATGCACCAAGAGCTTGTAACACTCCAAAGAGAAAGGAAAAATTGAGATCGCATCATATGACCCCTTTAATTTGTATTCTTGTCACATTTCTGTGCTCTCCAAAAGAATATTTGTATGTGTGCCCACCATTTATATAACAGTAACCAAGGATATACTACAAGTCAAGTGGTAAATCAAATACTAAACCTCAAGTGATAATAAAAATGCTAATATAATGGAAAACATTGATCTTGCACTGTTAGATACACCTGCTTAGATGACTCAAGTATTAAGATTAATAGAGAGAACATTTTGCTGAAGCACTCAAGGACAAAACCCTGACAGGAAGCCATTCAGTACATCTAAAACATAAATGAATAAATCGAATCTTAAAGAAACCAAAACCAAAAGCTAATCCTAAATAATAAAGAACTCAACGTATCCAGGCAGCTGTACTGCTTAAATGTTTAGAAAAGGTGTGAAGAGTGTTTTTGATCAGACCTTTTATTTAAACACGCTCATCATGATACATGACTCCATGACCAAGGCCTGACCACAGAACCAAGCAACAACGAAACATAACTTGCTTTTGTTTACATTTTATTGTACATTTTATTATCTGTCATTTATTGACATGATATAGTGCCATTTGCTCTACAATAAAATAATTGAAACTAAGGACGTCAGAGAGAGAGAGAGGAATTTTAGAACAGCTATTAGGACTGGAAATGATCTTCAGCATCTTTCTACAGGTGCAAGAAGCAAGTTGTATTAGTCTGGGCACAAGCTCTAGCTCCAAGGCATAGGTAGGTTTCCTGTAATGTTTTTAATTGTACAGCAGAGGGGTGATTTAGTAATATCAAAAAACTAAACAAAACAATAACATATATATACACACACACACACACACAATGATTTATAGTGAGCCACAGAGCCTTTTTACGTCGGCTATGTGTGTTGTGTATGTATATATATGAGTGCAGCAGGCAACAGTTTTTGTGAGAGAGCAGAATCTCAGCCTGTCATTGCACCTCTGCCTCTGCACCCTGTCCGCAGCTCGCCTCGCGCTCCGTGAGCTGACAGCTCCGCCGCGCATGCGCAGGGCGTCTCCACTGGCTCGCTCGGTGCTGAAGTTGGGCGGATGGACGGAAAACACCTCTGATGGAGATAAAACGGCAGCATGTAATCTCAACGCGTGATACCCCCGATATCCGCATAAACACGTGTAACGACACCCTTTTAGAAGATTGACATCTAGAACAAAAGGGGTAAGGCGACATACGCTCTTTAACGGTCTCGGAGGTCCCGCTAGCTCGCCAGCTAATGCGCTAGCCGTTGCTTCCTTGCGCTCAGAAAATCAAAGAGCGGCTGCGAAAATAGAATAAAATGGCAGTTACATTTCGCCTGTGAAAAATAGCGCGGCTTTAGGGAACAGTTTGCCCATTACTTTCAATTGCACCGCGCTGTCTTGTGATAGAAATGATTTAGGCTTTACCTGCGATGACTTCAGTAAAGATGCTGGCTGTGTCGCAAAACCCAGCGAGCTGCCTACCTAGACAGCATTTTTGGACATTATTCTAGAGGCTGAGATGTTCCAACAGCATTTATAACGCTCGTCGGCGTTTGGTGACTTCGTAGGGCCGTTTAAACCATCGTTAATGTACCAACGATGCCTAAACATGCGGTCTAGGTAGGATCTTCAGTAGGTTTTGACACACAGCCGCGTTTGATTCCACAGACAGCCACTGCAACCGGGAATGAAGGCGAATAACGGGAGGACCGCCGTCTATATCTGTATATCACGGAACATTGTGTTATATTGTTATACTTAAGAAATTAAACTATGACTTTTCGTCCTAATGTACCTTTTATATTTACCTCTTTCGTAGCCGACCATTTTCTCACGATTGACCTTAAATTAAATATATATATTTTTGAGTTTGTATATTATTTCTCGGACTTGCCTGTAATTATTTTTCCTGCATTCAGTTATTGCTGAGAGTTTAATTTCGGAGGAGGGCTGATTGCTCCAGCATTCATCATCATACAAGTTGTGAAGTTCCTCCCATTCACTGGTGCTTCTGGTTTTACAATGCAGCTGGTTGTGTGAAACAATCTGTTTCATGTGGGGAACATTTCGGGTGTCAAATCAGATGATTTGTCACTGAATCCATTCATTAAAACCAAGCAATAGTAACCCGCTCCACACAAATGAAATGCACAGATTTGTACTGTTTTTGTAATTTTTTGTTTCACTATTGAAAACTCAAATGAAACGATAATACACTGAAAATGAAAGCCAGTAAATCTGTATACTTCAATATACTTTCTATTACTGATATGCTGTGATAGATAATGTAAGATTAATGTGGTATTGCAGTGTATTGCCTTGCAAAAATATTGACCTCTTTTCACTTGTTGATAAAGCCTAGGTAAAACAACCAAAATGTAATTTTTTAAGGTTAAGGGTTATTGAGATTACAATAGGGTAACCAGTGTCATATAGCAAAGGAGGACATGTAATCTGCCCATTAACAATTTAGATGTATTTTTTGTTTTTATTAATTTTATGGGTACAATAGCACTGCCATGCAATCTTTGCTTTCCAAAATGTAATGACTTATAATAAATTCTTCACTAAAGACTCAAATTTACTAGTTAACCAGTTAACTTATCTAGTTTAACATTAATGAAATATTATTATTTGAATATTTTAGTTAACGCTCTTTGACTATTTGATTAATTAGCTATTTGATTTTTATCAGTACATGCAATAATTCATTTAAAGTAGCAATGAAATTAAAGTAGCAATAGAAAAGATCTTTTCAGACAGTTTAAATGATTGCCTTGCATGTGTTACCAGCAAGAAGTCAGTCATTTTCAGTGGAACACTCTTAAAAATAAAGCTTCTTTATTGGCATCAATGGTTCTATGAAGAACCTTGAACATCGCAGAAAAGGTTCTTTATAGTCGAAAAAGGTTCTTTAGATTTTAAAAATGTTCATCAAATGGTGCTTTTAGGAACTGTTCAATGAAAGGTTATTTTGAGAACCAAAAGTGGTTATTCTATGGCATCACTACAAAACCACCCTTTTGAAAACTTTATTTTAAAGAGTGAAGGTCCAGTTATGATATGATTACATTATGCACATTATGACGTAACATTACATATGCATGGACGAGTTGTTCACAATAAGATATTTAACACGCATTTACAAATAGATTGGATGAATGCTTATTTCATGCTGACTTTAAGGTTCTTTGTGTTATTAATAAAAGTGTACATCCTTTTTGCTTCATTTTGTCAAACAGCACATTATTGTTCTTGTGGCAAACGCTAATTAAACATGAATTAGATTATAAGAAGTCCAGAAGTAATCAGATTAGATTTTGAGTGCAATCTTACAAATTTGAGTAATATAAATTGTAATCAGTTTCAGAAGCTATCTACCCAGCACTAACTAAGAATTACCATTCATCTTTTAGTTTGCAGTAAACTTAGTTTATTCACGCTTGTTAGTATTTATAGCCCTAGATTAAAGCAGTTCTGATGTTTTCTTTCTGGTGTGATTTATTTCACAGATGTCTTATCCTGGATCATTTAGCCCTTGACTCAAGGAAAGGGTGTGCCTGCAAATACCAGGTGTTTGAAACCTACCTCCACCCACCTCCCGCATTCTCCATCAGGCATGATAAGAGAAGATACAAGAGGCCACATTTTGTTTTCCAGCACTCTGCCTGTCTCAGCGTTTGACATTACAGTCATGATTTTCTTACCTGATCTTCAGATGGATTGCTGCTAATTTGCATGGTAAGTTGGGGGGGTCCTCTCCTAGAGTGATTGCAAGTGCATTGATGATGTGGAAAATCACAAGACGTGTTTGCTGAGCGGTGATGTGATGCTGTGCAAGGTGAGAAATGTGGGTGAAACGGGCCCCTGTGTGATTATCACATGTATTAGAACTGCGGTGTGACATGTTTCTCGAGCTTGGCTTTGAGGGTAACGGCTCTAGGAGGCTTCTGTTGTGCAGCCAGCCATGGCCTATGCTATGCATCACTTGCTGCCCTGGAATGTGTATGGGGAAGTGCACAAGGGCGCATGAGACTTCCAGTGGGAGAACAGGGTTAGAGGCGGGACGACTGCGGCATCTGAGCATGCTTGCACGCAGAGGCATTTTCACACATTGTAATGTAATTCACGAGTGCAGACTGTAATGTATTTTAAGCAGGAAAGTGAGCTCTCAAATGCTTGTTATGTGCAATTAAAATATGTGCAATTAAAGAAACCTGTTATTTTGAATTTTAAAAATGCATTCAAACTTTAAACGGGTCATATGATGCGATTTCAATTTTTCCTTTCTCTTTGGAGTGTTACAAGCTCTTGGTGCATAAAGAAGATCTGTAAAGTTGCAAAGACTAAAGTCTCAAATCCAAAGAGATATTCTTTATAAAATTTACGAGTCAACCACGCCCTCCTAAAATGGCTCGTTCTAACATGCCCCCACATGTCTAGGTCACTATGTGGGAAGATTTGCATGACGCAGAAGAAAAAAGAAAGAAGGCGTAACTTTTATTCTCGCTGTTGCCGCCGCTGCCATGTTGTGGAGTCGCTGTGTGTTTCGTTGTGAAAGTGAAACTACTTTGTTTGGCCTTCCAAAAGAGGACACGACTAGAAATCAGTGGTTAAGTTGTATTTACAACACTGTTCCAGAACAGTTCAACCCAAATATTCAGATGTGTGCTGCGCATTTTATGGAGGATGGATGAGGACTGTTTCCTGAACCAGTAGCCTAATGCGTCTGTGGCACAAAGGCTGTTTCTATAAAGTTGGGCAGTTCCAACTTTGCAAGGACAGTCTGGCGCTTCTGACTCACAGCCTGTAAGTAAGTTTTTTGTATTTAAATAATTTACCAATGAGTAGTGATGTCCGGATCGTGAACGAATCGTTCTATTTAACCGGATCTTCTTAGTGAACTGGTCGAACCAGTTCACCAAATCGAACTGAATTGTTTGAAACGGTTCGCGTCTCCAGTACGCACTAATCCACAAATTACTTTAGTAATTTGGTTTATAAACTTGCCTGGCACTCCCTCTGACGCGAAATAACCCAATATCCCGAGTTATTCAGTTACTCCTAACAGTACATTGACTGAACTGCTAAAAGAGAACCGATGATGGGATGTGCACGAGCAGAGCAGCTGGACTGAGTCTCGTCCTGCTGGGACACGGCATCACAGTATGGTAAGGGGCGTAACATTTCCGTCACATGCCTGAGACATTCGGCCAATCCCAACGCACTGGATAGCTGGCCAACACCTCGCTTTTTTAGAACGATGAGCTTTGTAAAAATCGGCGCGTTTCAGAAAGGCGGGGCATAGAGGAGAAACAATAATGTACATTATATGGAAAATAATGTGTATTTTGAACCTTAAACCGCATAAACACATTGCATTACACCAAATACACAACATAATGTTCTTTTAGCAACGTCATATGACCCCTTTAATAAGCATCCGTGATCCATTTAGCAGTCATTGCTGGAACAGAAAAAGCTTTCTTTGAAGATTTAAGTGTGTGTGTGTGTGTGTGTAAGTTTCAAATTGAACTTTTGTGTAGATATCTCAATATCTGTAACAGAAACACACACCAAAGGCTGAAGAGTTATTATGTCCCAGATACATGTACAAATAATACATTACATGAAGTATATCCGGAAATTACAAACAGATTTTTAATCTCTTTTAAAACTAGATTTGATCAAGTGGTATTTACCAGATGTCGCATTTTTGCCTAAAGGTGAAGAACCTACTCAATCCACGTTCTGCAATATTGCCCTTTCTGTCAAACATATTTTATTGGACTGTCCAGCTTTGAATGTATGTAGAAAACTCACTTAAAGAGTTATTTAGTATAATTTTGGCAGAAAATGGTTTAGAATTTTTATCATATGTTAATGTAAAAAATCTTGTGTAACATAACTTGTGATTGTTTGTTTGCTGGTTTTTATTGTATTTGTTATACTTGTATTTTTTAATTGTTTTTGCCATGAAAATAGCCTTAGATGCTGACATGGCATATATACTATACTATGTGCATAATAGTGCACATAGTATAGTATATATGCCATGTCAGCATCTGTCTGGGACATAATATATACTATATTATGTCCCAGACAGATTATCTTTGCCAGTTGTTTCAGCCTTTTCTTCTCTGGAAAGCTCTTTTATTAACATAAATTATTACATGGCTATCTGGAATACTTGATTCTGATTGGTCAATTGTGTGCATTGTCCAGGGCAATACTTTATCACTGACTATAGCTGATAAAATGTAATTATTAAAGGGAAAGTTCCCCCCAAAATTAAAATCCTGTCATCGTTTACTCACCATCATGTTGTTGCAAACCTGTACGACTGACATTCTACTGTTGAACACAAAAGAATATATTTTGAAGAATGTTTATAACCAAACCTTTTTGGTGACTATTGACTTGTATTGTATGGACAAAACCACTGAAACATTTCTCATAATATCTTCTTTTATGTTCCACAGAAGAAAGAAAATCATACAGGTTTGAAATAACGAGTAAATTATCACATAATTTTTTTGGGAGGTGAACTATCCCTTTAAAGCAATGGAGACACATAGAAATGATAATGACAATGAACAGTTTTGACAGAATATTTACATGAAATTCACTGATAATATCTGAAAACGGTACGTGTGAATTATCTGTGACAAGACAGCAAAGGGGCATAGTTATTGGCTATTAATCTCAAAATAGCCAAATATTGTCTCACACATTGGTCTGTCGCTAGTTTTTAACGTGCTATGAATTTTTTTTAGCTTAACATGATATAAAATGATATATGACTTTCTGTGAAATCAGTCTGGTTGTATAATTGTTTTTATACAACTTGTTTTACATATTGTGCAGAGTTGTTGGTCAATACTCTAGATGTGAACAAAGGGACTCCTCAGTGTGTTTTGCATCAGGATGCATGTTTTCCATTGCCTGGCACTGAATAACTGATGGTAGTTATGTTTTGCATATTTGGTTTATGTGGCTCCATTAGGGTAAACTCTCAAAGAGTGTTCACAAATACATCCCAGACAAACTGAGCTTTCATCACCAGGTAGAAGGGCTGTTTATCAACACTTTTTAAAGTGTAAGGATGAATTTAGAGGTAAGGTTTCTGTTTCAAGGTCTTTGTTTAACTAAATATTCTGAGTATTAATATTTTGGTGTATGTGATATCAGTAATATTGATAGTATGTAATGAGACTAAGAAAACAGTACACTACTATTACCCTAGTACAAGCACAATACTAATACTAAATAACAAACAAAATGTTTACATCCATATGCAGTGTGCTTTATATATTTATTTTACAGAGCAAATTTTGTGTAGCATATTTAATGCTACATAAAAATGGGCTGTTGTGTGTTTTTTTTTTTTATCACAGCAATGCATTTCAATCAGCAGTGAATCTTTAAATTATGCACCACACGTTGGTACAAAAAGTCAGCCAACCAAATGCCCTGTGGTTATGTGGTTATGGGATATTTACCAATACCATACTGGGAAACGATAATTTGATACTGGCCCAGACCTTCAGCTTGTCCGTTTAGTGCCCAGACTGTTTGTCCCTAAATATTTGGATCAGATGTTAAGGTGATGTGATATGGTGTTTGTGCTGCCAAACCCTGCCAAAAGATCAGTTTCCAGAAAGCTTTGTGCTAAAATTAACACATTTTGTTGAGGGCCTGGTGTGAGACATCATGTTTACCAGGGTTTCCCAAAGTCTAGTGCCAAATTATTTATTTGCAGTTCACGCAAACAACTTGTTGGGCTTAAAGCGATTAATTGAATAGAGTAATGAGGCAAGTCCCATTCAAGTCCCATAAAGGCCACAATACACCTGAAGTGGTGCAGGGGTTAAATGGATAGTTAACTATGAAATTAAACATCTGTCAACATTTACCTTTATAGCTTTTGAAACCATTTTGACTTTAACTTTCAGTCTGTTCTTCAGACAAATGTATCAAATGGCTTCAGAAGAATTGGTAGCCTAAATACTGTTTATTAATACTTTAAATTATCTTTTATTTTTATCTTTTCAGTTTTTTTATTCTAAGTTTTAGTATTTTTTTATGTTTTTATTATTCATTATTATTATTATATGAAGCTGTAATTAAATTTTATTTCATTTTTTAGTTTTATTCGTTTTAGTACCTTAAGTTTTTTTTTCTCTCTGTTGAACACACACACAAAAAAAAAGAGAAAAAAGAAGAAGAACAAACTGTTGCTGGTAGCCATTGACTTCCATACTATTTTTTTTTCCATACAATGGAAGTCTGGCTACCAGCAACTGTTTGGTTTTTTAATTTTTGGTTGAATTATATAAAATACTTAATCACATATTTAGATATTTATACATTATAATAATTACATTATATGTATTATATAATTATAATAGATATAATATTATATATAATCTTTTAATTAACAAAAAATAATTGTTAATGGTTTTAATGAATATATAAATATGTAAATAAATGTATATATATATATACATATATTAATCAGTTATATCAGATATCAATTATCAAAATCACATGACAAAATTATCTTTTGAATAACTATGCTCATGTGTATGCAAGTAAGGTGCTTCTATAGTACCGAGACCATATGGTCACTATTAATAAAACTGTCAAACAGAATAATCACCCATGTGTTTGACAGTTTTATTAATAGTGACCATATGGTCTCGGTACTATAGAAGCACCTTACTTGCATACACATGAGCATAGTTATTCAAAAGATAATTTTGTCATGTGATTTTGATAATTGATATCTGATATAACTGATTAATATATGTATATATATATATACATATATTAATCAGTTATATCAGATATCAATTATCAAAATCACATGACAAAATTATCTTTTGAATAACTATGCTCATGTGTATGCAAGTAAGGTGCTTCTATAGTACCGAGACCATATGGTCACTATTAATAAATCTGTCAAACAGAATAATCACCCATGTGTTTCAAAGACATGTTAATGGTCTGGTGATGGATCACAGTTAGAGTGGAGCAGAGCTCACAGTAACAACACTTGCTCTCCTGATAGAGTGCTTCTTGGAAGCACATGCAACGCAGTTAAAATGTTTGTGGTTAAAATCTTTGCTCTGATGTTGTTTTTAACAAGCCAGTGATATTGGGAACCAAACATGGAAGAATTTATTGAAAACCATTTTATTTCACGTCTGCTCTCTGGTTGCCTGTGTACAGGTAAAAATGTTGATTTGCATGGAGATTTATCCGTATTTGGCGCCAAACCTCCATCATGAAATCTAAAATGAGAATTTGGTGGCTTTCAGTTTATGTTCATATACTAGAAAGCTCCCAAATGTTGACATGAAAACCATTTTATTTCACGTCTGCTCTCTGGTTGCCTGTGTACTGGTAAAAATGTTGATTTGCATGGAGATTTATCCGTATTTGGCGCCAAACCTCCATCATGAAATCTAAAATGAGAATTTGGTGGCTTTCAGTTTATGTTCATATACTAGAAAGCTCCCAAATGTTGACAAAAAAATCACTTTTTGCACATTGAAAACGTATAATTGTTCTTTTTACAGTTAAACGGAACTAAATATCGATGACTCGTTTAGTCTCAAAAACGTTTCATTGACAATGTACCTTATCTATTTGTCTAATTAATTTTCTCTTGAAGAACCTTTTAGGAAGGATTCATATAGTTTTATTTAATTTATTTTAAGAAACAGGAAGCAACAGCCATTGCATTTTTATAAACAATTTATTTCCAAAAAAGGAAAACTGTTGCATTTGCTCATGTGTTCGAACATGTGAGATCCCACACTACTACTGCCTGTGTGTGTTCAGGGCTGGGCGAGTGAACGCTTCAGCCACGCCAGCATCTCTCTCATCCTCCTTACAGCTCAAACTGATTTAGCATCTTGCCAGAGGAATGAATGTGTAGTCTGAAGAGGGGATTTCTTTACTTTCGGTCTGTCTGTCTGTGTGCCTCTCAGTCTCTACAGACACGCTCTCACATGCATTCTTGTAGATTTCAGCTGAATAAGCATCTGACAGTAGAGTTGGAAACGGTCCAACAAGCTCAGATACTGAGCATCCTTATGATCGCTTCCATTGGAAAAGCTAACCATAATCTCTCCCTGGAATCGGCAAATAATTAATCATCTCTTTCGGTCTTACTTTAGATTTAGAAACATCTGTAGTTAACAAGATACTTCAGCTAACACAGTTCCCAAGCCCCCACTGCTTTGTTTCTAATCAGATGTGTCTGTCCACAGCCTCAGAGTGTGAGTGGAGTTGAAATGAGGAAAAGGCAGCAGGGACGCATTGAAGGACCCCCGCAGGCGCCTGGTCACCCGAGGCCCAACACCTGCTGTCTGTGTTGGTGTGGATGCTGCAAATGCCTCTGGTACACCCCATCCTTCATTATGGTCTGCTGTAAAGATGTACTTGCATGGTAGCTATTTGCTTAACAATGAGTTTTACATTGAGCAGCAAGTATTTTAACACCATTACATTACCTGCCTCAGGTACATTACTGTTCAAAAGTTTGGGGTTGGTAAGATTTTTTAATATGTTTTTGAATTCATTTGATCAAAAATACAGTAACAACAGTAATACTGTGAAATATTTTTACCATTTAAAACAACTGTTTTCTGTTTTAGGTTTGTTTTTTTGTTTGTTTTTTTCTTTTCTGTGATGCAAAGCTGATTTTTTAGCAGGCATTACTCAAGTCTTCAGTGTCGCATGATCCTTCAGAAATCATATTAATATGCTGATTTGGTCATCAAGAAACATTTCTTATTATTATTAATGTTGAAAACAGCTGCTTAATATTTTTATGGAAACGGTGATACTTTTTTTGTTTTCAGAATTCATTTATATTTATTTGAAACCGAAAATCTTTTGTAACATTATAAATATCTTTCTGTCACTTTTGATCATTTGAATGCGTCCTTGCTGAATAAAAGTAATAATTTCGGTTAAAAAAAATCTTACTGACCCCAAACTTTTAAACTGTAGTGTTTATGCGAAAGTTTTGTGGGCTCACGCCTACTTTAGTTTGAGCAGGTGTTGCCATTTTACTTTCCATGCTTTTAGTCTTTAGTAGCATGAGTTTTAACTAACAAAACTAGTTTTATCATTGGATTTTATGAATTCTGTGGTGGTTTCATAGTATTACTTGGTTAGTCTCACTTTAAAACATTCCATCCTGTTTGCTGAAATTACAGAAATTTGTATGATAATATCAGATTTCAGAAAGGTTGTTATTTATAGCTTCAGGTTGAGACTATAATATAAACTGAAACCTTGACTGAGCAACGGGGATTTTAGCTTTCTATTTATATCCTGCTGGACAGCCTGTTAATTTTTAACATGTATTGCCATTGTGTAAGTTACCAAGCTATAATTAATAGTATTTTATGAGTTTAAGCAAACCATATTTTTGCATTGTTATATGTTAGCATGGCCTTTTAAAATCCTCCCACAGGAATATTAAGAAAAGTATGTGGAAGAGGGTTTGTCTCAGTATGCAAGCTAACATTGCACATTTATTTGATGATTATTGAGTGCACTTTTAAGCAGGAGTACAACACAAATATCAGTGTCAATAATACTAATGGGAAGAAAAATAACCTATCTTTATCCACAGCTGGTCCATTATTTTATTTTTATTTTTATATGTCATTTAATTTATTTTTTAATTGTCTACAAACACACACATTACATTAGAATGAAATTCTGGCTGTTGTAACTCTTTAAATAAAATTAGCAAGAAAAAGTGTTCCTTAAAGAGTTAAATTAGCTTGTAAAAAGATGGGGGAAAAAGCAGTTGGAGTTTGAGGCTGGGCCATTGAACAAAGAAAGATTGGAAAGGCCATAGCACAGCTTGCAGGGGGACTATAAATAACATGAATGAATACAAATATTGCATGAAATAAAGAAAACATTGAGGAGGCCGTACAAACCCTACTCTGTAACCTCGGTTTCCACAGCCATCCCCCCACTACACACTGCCATTATCTGCTCAGTAAATGGCTATTTCTGTCCCACATCACATGCAAAACAGCTGTGTAGTACATGTTATATATTTAGAGTCTTGTCAGCTTGTCGAACCCCATGGCTAACAAACCCAATTATACTTGCTCTACAGAGACTTGAACTGAGAAACACAGAGGATGTTCACCTGTAATTTGTAGCTTAGTTTCAATAAATGCTCTTTTTGGACTAAAGGAGGAATTTTAGTACTTAGATTATGGTTAGACTTTTACTGTAAGTCCAAACTGGGGACCAGAAGGGAGTGAGAGAAACATTTAAAGGGATAGTTCACCCAAAAATAAAAATTCTGTCATTAATTACTCACCCTTATGCCATTTCAAACCCGTAAGACCTTCGTTTGTCTTCGGAACACAAATTAAGATTTTTGTGATGAAATCCGAGAGTTTTCAGACCCTCCATAGACAGCAACACAACTGAAATGTTCCCAAGCCCAGAAACGTAGCAAGGACATCGGTCAAACAGTCCATGTGACATCAGGGGTTCAACTGTAATCATACCTCCAAACTAGTCGCTTTTCGGCGAAATTCGCCGTTTTGAATCAAAATGTGTTATTTATGTGAATCGTCTATCGTGAATCGGGGTCTGGGCAGAGAGAGAGAGAGATTGCAAGCTTGTAGACAGGAGTGTGTTCGACCAAAGTTTCTTTCTCGGTTCGACTTGAAGCAGCAATTCGCAGACCGTTTGCTGTATGACTTCAAAGCACCGAGCGAGCTACAGAGAGCAGATGGTTCTGCATGCTTTCGAATCGCTGCGCAATGGATGCGCTGGGAGTTCTTGCCCAGAACGGAACCATACCGCCAATCCAAACTGTATGCTAATTGTTAATCATCTTTGACGATAGTGGTCCTGACAGAAGTTGTTTACACGCAGATGACGGAACTCATGCATCATGATACTCTTTCCACAATGGCGGCACGCCTCAGCAGATGGGATGAGGAGGAGAAGAATTGTTGAATAAAGTTGTTATTTTTGTTTTCTTTGTGCACAAAAAGTATTCTTGTAGCTTCGTAAAAAATTACGGTTGGACCCCTGATGTTACATGGACTATTTACCGATGTCCTTGCTACGTTTCTAAACCTGGGAACATTTCAGTTGCATTGCTGTCTTTGGAGGGTCAGAAAGCTCTCAATATTCATCAAAAATATCTTAAATTGTGTTCTGAAGATGAACAAAGGTCTTACGGGTTTGGAATGACATGAGGGTGACTAAAGCCAGGCTCACACTATAGGATTTTTAGCCCGATTTCCCCCTCCCGAGAATCAGAGCAAAAATCTTATCGAGTCCCTTACCGATCGAATCTTGCACCTCCCGGTCTGCTCGCACACAAATCTGGGCCGTCCCGATCATATTTAGGATTTAAATCGGGATGATGACGACTATATGATTACGTCAGTACTTTCACAATAGCCAATGCGAGACTGCAAAACAGCTGCTGTAGGCTACGGCCTTGTTGGATAGTGGACAGAGGAAACTGCTTCTTAACGTTTTACAGTAACACGACTGTCTGTATAATGTGTTGAAAACGTATCACAACCGTAAGGAGAAAGAGAAGCGCTGGAGTGAAATCACCTCAGTTTTGAATGTACCGGGTGAGTGTAGAAAGCAGCTAGCACGCTAGCTAACAGATGTAAACATCACTGAAATATCAATGACGATCTGCTGCGTGAGATCACATGAGGCGCTCCCTCTGGCATGATAATCTTAATAATATCTTGTAGTGTGTGATGCGCCACGATGTTCAAATCTTGTAGTGTGTGCATGTTTAAGATTTGAGGGAAGATAATCTGCAAAGATTCTCCTTATGTGTGTGCTGCAACCAGATTTCATAATCGGTTAGGATTTTAAAACTTCTGTAACGTGAGCCCGGTTTAATTAATGACATCATTTTCATTTTTGGGTGAACTATCCCTTTAAGAAGTAAAAAACAGTAAGAAAAACTGTTGGTGACTATTATTATTACTTTTTAAATAATGCAGTAAATTACCGTATAAATGGCCTTAGGTTTGTATTTTTTATATTTTGTACAAGGGGAAAAATGTAGTGTTCACTCAAGAATCGCTGGTAAATTTTACAAATAATTACAAAGATACAGTAGTAGCACATTGGATTAAATGAGACATTTCGAAGCAGAAAGACTGAAATAGTATTTTCTTATAAATCTTATAAATGTTTTTTTTTTACAACTTTGAAAAATTATTTTTGCAGTTTGGGCCATTAAAAAGTTAAAAAATCATTGGTAAAGAATATAAACACCATCTTTTATTTCAAAATGAAAAATTGAAAACTTTTTTATAGGTAGCACCCGAATGGCTATGTACTGTAATAACAGCTGTTAGTCTCCAGTCTCTAGTTTTACCAGAAATGTATAACCTTGCATGATGATCAACTCAACATGTTTCAAATGCCACAGAGGCTTTGCTGTGTCTAACACTTCTCTTCTCACCCTAGGAATGAAGACAGAATGGAACGTTCAGAGAGGCAAACATGTACAAAGATGGATAGCATAGAAGCAACAGAGGAACAGTGAGTTATTAGAAACGTCTATTATTGTTCAGGTACAAGATGTTTGGTGCTTTTTTATAGTGCTTGTGTTCATACCTCCCCAACGTCCTGTTAAAATGAGTGAAATCATCTAAAAATCTCACACAGATTGTTACCAAGTCCTTTTTGGGGCAATTTAATTTCCAATCAAGTGCCTTTTAATACATTTCCATACAGTTTATTTACTGACAGCTGAAGTAGTTATTTTATATAGGTAGTTCCTGCTTTTTTTCATTGTCTCCCATTTGAAGGCATCCCACACTGGATGAGATGATTGCCTGGTCACGGAGCTTTGAGATGGTGATGCGCTCTCCAGAGGGGAGGGATGTTTTCCGGGAGTTCTTGCGGTCTGAGTACAGTGAAGAAAACCTGATGTTCTGGATCGCCTGTGAGGAACTAAAGAAAGAAACCAACCCATTAGCTATCGATGAAAAAGCCAGGATCATTTATGAAGACTACGTCTCCATTCTTTCACCAAAAGAGGTTAGAATACGTGATGCTGTCTGTGACTGCAATACGACCGTATACAAAATATGACAACATAAAAATATAAAATATTCATATTACATTAATAATAAAACAAAATATATTCTCAAGCATTTTTTGTGCACAAACATATTCTGAATTGTTAAGTGTTTTTTTGCCACGTGACAATTTTTTTTTTGATTTTTGATATTCATGGGATTATATGAGGTTTTTTTCTATATACAACAGTAGCTGGAAACATCACATCTGTTTTGCTTAGCTCATTAAATGTTTTTTTTTTGGGGGGGGGGGGGGGCATTTTTTTCCTACAAATTATTTTTGCTGTAAATATTTTGCACAAAGCTTTAAGGTAATGATTATTCATTCATATAAAAAAAATCACATAAAACCACAAAAATATTTTAAGCTATTGTAAACTATCACTAACTGTGATCTTTGTAAGCTGTTTTTTTTTGTGCGTGTGAAAACTAAATAGTTGGTCAGTTTTTTTATGCCATCTCACAATTTGTGATTGTTATTTATGGGTGTTTTTATATGTACAACTTGAGTCTGATGAAAAGGATGTATCTTCAAACTTCACATCTGTTTTTTTTCATGTTTTTCTATCATTTAAAAAAAGTACCCTATAATCTAAATGTACAAATTATAAATTTGCATACAATATTTCACACAAAGCTTTAAAGTTATTAGTAGTTCTAAAAAATTTTTAATTCACAATAAATTCTCAAAATGGTCAGTTTGGATTTTTTTGCCATGTTTTAAGAAAAATGGACCTAGTCATATTTTAAATTATAATATGAAATATATGCAATATAGTGAAATATTTGACACAAAATATAAACATGAACAATGTTTTATAATCTTCACGTAAAGTTGTTGATTTTTACATTTGTTGTCGGCCGGCAGGTCAGCTTGGATTCACGGGTGAGGGAAGTCATCAACCAAAGCCTGGCAGAACCCAGCAGTACGATGTATGAGGAGGCCCAGCTTCAGATCTACACCCTCATGCACAGAGACTCCTTCCCCCGGTTTCTCAACTCATCTGTTTACATGGATCTCCTTAACAGCAAGAGGGCCTGCTTAGACACCTAGGTTTCAGCAAGAACATTTGTGACAAAAAAGCCCCAAGGTGCCATTTTCAAAAGGTGTGATGTTTCTTATTTCAAGAGTGAGTAGTTAAGCAATTCTGAGCACCCTCTAGTGACCCTGAAGTTCAGTTCTGTTTAAGTGCCAATATGAGCTGCTCAGGCAACTGTGACACAGAAAAAAAACACATGTAGGAAATCTGACAGATCCATACTTCCTACTTTAAACTTGCTTGTCTTTTTCATTCACCTGTTTTGTCTCTTTTGACTCCTCAAATCTCCTCTCTCTTCCTGTTTACATCACCTGTTCTCTTTCTCTCTCTGTGTTCTTTCTACCCGATCCTTTCCATCTTTTAATGCCTCTCATATCTGAGGACAGCTGAATAATGTTATTAGTATTTTTTTTAAAGAAAATCAAAAAACAACGGATAAGCGGTAGATGTTAAGCTAGAAAACCTTTGCATGATACAAGGTTATGGAATTTACTCCAGTTTGACATTTAAGCCCCGGTCTACAATGTTTTTTTTTTTTTTTTTCAATGCTGTCATGGGGAGAGAACATTGTAAAGCTCTCGTAAGCGAAGGGAAAATTAGCTGTGCCAATTGTTTTGTAAAAGAGAAGCTGGGAAGCGTAACCGCCGTCCAAACTCTTTCTTTGCGTGTCGACAGTTCTTTAACTGGGAAACATAAGGGCTAGCTAGTGTTGTGATTGGGCAGCTAAATGAATCATGAACATTTCTTTCTCTCTGCAAAAATCACAATGCCTCGACACTTGAGTAAGGGCACAAAAGCTGCTGATGCTGGTGACGACACAGTTTATTGTGTGAGTCCTCCTAGCCCCTCCCAGTCCGTTACTAACAGAGAGAAGCACAGGTACTGTATGTCATGGGCTGTAAGCTTCGTCGGATTGAGCGAGAATTGCTTGAAAATCACTCACCAACGTTCTGGAGGTTCTTAAAAGAGCTTCGAATTGTCTTACACATTAAAGAAATGTATTTTATTAAACAAAAGTGTAGTGAACACTATGCCTTGTTTTTGAGAGTTACACTAGGTCTATTTAAAATAACTGTGATCGCCGAGACCTGCTCGATGAGGTGGAAACTTTTCTCTGCCTCCGAGTCCAAATGTTGGTTTTTGCGACTTGAAACGAGGAGCGGTCATTTTCACAGCTCGGAAAACCGCAGGTTATCGAAAAATTAAAAAAGTCTTTTTTATAATACTTTTTTCCAGCATGCGTTTCTTCTGTTGTGTCATGTACACATTGCAATACTCAACCCAGATATGATGTGATGAAGTATCATCACGTTGAAGATGATACTTACAAAAGATGATTTCCTTTCGAGGTTTAGACGTGTGTCCCTCAAGAACGCGTTGTTGGATTCAAACTTGAATGTTGCTGTTCAATTTTCTAGACATTTATGTGCTATTGCAATCGCAGCAGCCAGTGCATGAGAACACGATATTTAAAATACTGGTGTGTTAAACCACTCTCACCATTTAGCGGAGAAATTCAAGAGTGAATTGCATTTAAACCGACGTTTTTTGGTCACCATACCCAACCTCAAAGTGTCACTTTCCCTGAACTCTTGTGCCAATGAATGAACGTTTGTGAAGTAAATCATCATCAAGTGTGTTGTTGTTGGGTTTTCTTACTGGTGCTCTGAGAGTTAAGTGCCATTCACTCTGCAGGTTTACCACATTAAAATGAAGACCTTTGTCACTTTACCGAGTGCATAGATATCCTTCTTTGAAGTATTCAAGTGTTTGAGCATCAGCCAATGTGAGTAGGTCCTTTATTTATGTTGTTTTACAAACCGAATAGGTGTTACCTAGTAGTTTACTTACTGAAGCAGCGAACCATCATGGGAAGCTTGGCTTTCCAACATTTCTAAAACAAAATGATTTAATTTTCTTGTTTGTTTTAAAAGAAAAAAAAATCATGTCATTGAAGAAATGAGCAATAAATTAAAATGGTCTTGCTCTAAAAAAAAAGAGAGAAAGAAAAAGACCCTGCATGACACATGGACATTTACTGAACCAAACTATCTTTGAGGGGGGAAATTGACACACATTTACTGTAAGTTTTATGATAAATGTCAATTAAAATGAATGTGACTATGATTATTTCAATCCGTACATGTCAGTAATCCAGGAAGTCCAACGTCATAGAAGTCATTGAAACTACTGGACAGGGAACAGAGTAAATATATGATTATTTAAAGCCGATATGGATAGATTTAAAATAAATCATAATAGAAGATAATCATGTTCATTTAAGTGATGACAAATTTGAAACATACCTCTGAAGTTCTTATTATTGACAAAAAATGTGAGGCAAATAAAGAATGGAAATTCGTGCAGTATTATGCTACTATATTTGGCTGCATCATTTAATAAAAACTATCGTAAAAAAGTTTCACCGATGAAGGTATTATTCAAATTTGGCATTTTCACTTATTATTAATTGGATTGCAGATTATACAAGAAAATGCGAACCATCCTTTAGAGTAGTTATCTGTTTCATTTCAATGCCTCAACTTTATTTTTGCTGCTAATGTTCTATCCGATTTAGAGAGTTTCGGAGTTTTTCACTTGACGGCTGTCACGGTGATGGCTAACAGCTGTTGATAATGATTTTATCAGCTTGGTATGACTTGGAAAAATAACCTTTCTTGCCAAAAGGCTCCTTTTCTAAGCAAATGAAGTGGAGCCTGTGCTATGTGATTATAGAAGCGCCATCCACACAGACGACTACGTCTCGGTTTCATTGGTTTTCCACTACCTCTCGTTATGCTTAGTTATTTTTTTCTCATCTAGTTAATGTTACATGTTTATTTTGATCTACTTGAAGCCTAATACTGTAAATGAGATGGGTTTACAAAGAAGAGTAGCATTTTCTTTGCTTTTCAGCATAATTATGATATATACTCGCGAAGAATTCAGGAAACGTACTGTTTAAGGGCTAATCCCATATTGCCTATGCAAATATCTTAATTGTCATATTGGAATAATTAGTGACTGAGGAGTGGTTTCCTGAAATTGGGTGGAACACTGGTTTACATTTGCCCTTTTTCTGATATTCCTTAGTCTCTTCGGTCACATAATATGTCATATATAAAATCCTTCTTGATGAAAAAGCTACTACGTTAAGATTGAAAGAAATCTGTGTTGTGTCTACTGTGGGTTGACAGTTCAATATTGATGTAAAGTGCATATTGAATGTAAGATGAAGTTTATTTGTTCAAGTGATGGAAAACTCTGGCCTCTGGAGCCGCATTGGGCAGGAGGGAAATAATTGAATTATTTGTGGATGAAGGGAGTGTCTATTCTTGTTTTTAAGGGTGCTTCAGTCTTTTTTTGCAAAGGTTGAAGGGCTACTTTGGGCACTTTAAACACGCTTTTCACGAACAAGAATATCTACCTCTTGGTTCTGTTCTCTCCATATGCTTAATATAGAAGACCGAGCCTTGAAAAACAACGTAGCTTGCACATATTTCGATTGTTTTGACTTGGTTTAGAGCCACAGGTGAACTGCCAGGCGCTTTTTAGGGACTGAATTTTAGCTCAACCTCATGGATTAAACCTTTAGTTATGTTGCTTTTCTTCCTGTTTAAACAAAAGATTGACAGTTTGTGCCCATGCAAAGACACATATTCTGCTTAAAGAAAGCACTCATTTTTTCCGGTATCTCTTATAGCATGTGCTTGCGTTATGTGATATATACGGATTGTTGTAATTACAGAAAAGAAGTGTTAACAGCAGCACTCAGTAGACACGGCATTACTAGTGTGCTACACCTTTCACAATTCTTCATTGTAAGCACATGAAATATGCTCTTTACATTCATAAGACATCAATGCCATTGATTTGAAGGGTTATGTAGGGTCACCTGAATTTTAATGACCCTCAATATATTTGAATATTGCAAGGAGGAAGGCTTCATGTATATCAGCTTTTCTTTCATTAAATCATTTTTCACTATCACATGAAATTGGAAAGAGATCAGGTAACATTTTTCATTCAAATTTGGTGCCTGACTTTCAAATCAGTATTCATAGTTCATTTATTGTTGTGTTTCCAAAGCCTCATGGTGGTGGATTCTGAATAGTTGTTTATATCAGTTCACAATTACATTCCAATTGTTTTCACGATTAAACAGCGTGACTACGACTAAAGTAAATGCTGAATTATTTAATGTCAACATTTTATTGCTAAAACATTGTGTACCACAAACTTTACATAGTAAAACAATCACACAAACAACCTGCCAGTTACAACCAAACGATTACAAAATTATTAGAAGGGATACATTTATGCTATGACAAAAATGGAGAATAATCAACTGCTATAATTTCATGGCATTCAGACTCTGGAGGCAAACTGACTTCTGTATCACAGTTGATCACAGTCACCCTGAAGTGCCTTGAATGTTTAGGTCATGATCTATGATTTATCGTTAATATCCCAAGGGAAGATGTTTCTTTTAAAGCCCGTGCTTTTCTCTAGGACTGAATGCATGATGCACGCTGTAAGCAAAAGACATTTGCACATGCAGAAAGATGTTAAAGCCAAGATCTTTGGAAATAAGTGTGAACTGATAGCCGTTTAGCCATTCAGCTTCTGTCATTGTCCTCTGCTAAAAAAACATACATTTTTTTACCCATCATCATCTTAAAGTTGTGCTTATTATATAAGTGTTTGGTGCTTATTATATGTAACATAATGAAATATCAAACCTGTCATCCCATTGTCACAATATTCTTTTCTTGCAGAATACAGACTTGCCCTGTTTTGTTTTTCCTCAGATCAGACACAGATCAGGCCTTCACTGAAGGCGTTCTTTAGAACTGTGCCATGATATGAGTCCTAATAAATCACCTATTTTAATATAACCTATTTTAAAATGATCTAGTATTTAATCATAATTCTGTTGTTTTTAATACCAGGGGACAAACTATAATGCCTTTGTAAATTATAATAACTCGTAGGAGAAAAATGATCTTTTATATTTGGCATGCTTTTGCTATTCAAAATAGTTTAGTTAACACAATACTGTACAATTATATATAGAAGTACTGCAATCTGCAGACAATAACACTCAATCTCTCGGAAGAGTTTTAAAAATGGACATATATTGGAAATATTAGAGGTTTCTTTATAGGTAATCATATTTAAATAAAGTATTCTGTGCTGAACTCTCAAAACCTGGTGAAATGACTGAAATTACTTATAGTAATGAAATTAGTTTCTTGTAAAGTGATGCAGTTTTATTCAAGAAAGGCAGTACTGGTTTATTAACAATGGAGCCCAGGCGAATGGGCATCTTTCAGATCACATGTACTCCTGCATGAACACTTTAAAAACAGAGAACAAATGTATTTGTAGACATCAAATAAAGTGACTTACAATATGGTGCTGCTTCTGTCTGTCTAACACATAATAACATACTGTACTAAATAGCTGAAGAGCAAAATAACTCATTTGTGGAACAATGTATGACACTAACATGAAAAGTCATTTTATACTCACTTCTTATTCTGTGCAGAGTTTAAAAGAAAAATATCTCCTGATATTGTAGCAATAGTTGTTTGGCAGTTTAATGCATATATATCACAGGAATGACATGTCAAGTAATTTACTTTTTCAAGCTTACATGCATGAGAACTGTCCTAAAGTCTTATCACATTCTCCTCAGAGGATTCACATGAGCTCTGATGGTTCCTTTTTGAAGATCTCCACATCAGACTCTTTGCTTAATTTCATTTTTTTCTGGTTGCAATGTGTTTTTATTTTTGTCTTTATTCCCCAGGCAACAATATTATAAGCTCTAGAGTGCATTGAAAGTACTGGCATTCTCATATTTTCTGTAATGATTGTCTAACATGTGCCAAAATTATAATTCTTTTTTTTTAAATCTTAGATTTATGAAGACAAACTGTCCAGACACATTCTTCAAAAAGTGATGGGTGTTTTGTGAACTCCACTTTATAATAGCAGCACGTTAGGGAAAGTTTTGCTTTCATTAACAGCAGACTGACACAAATGAAGAGGTCTTATAAAAGAGCTGAAGTATGTTATTATTAGAAAAAAAATTTTTTTAGTCAAGTCTTTACAAACAAGCAAAAAATGTGATTAAATTCATATATGGTGCCTGTCAAAAGCCAGGAGACAACTAGTCATTTATTATTAATG